CCATCTTCCTGCTCTTTTACTTTATAGGGTCACGTTCTCCATTGAAGCAGGATTCCCTTCGGAGCCCGGCCGGCGCGCACTTCAGCTGGCCGCGCCGGCACCGCCCCGCCCGCGAAGGTTGTCTCTGATAAGACCCGGTGGGTTATCGATGTGTCTACAGGGCAGACCGCGCGCCGTCGGGTCCTGCTGTCACACGTCCGAGGAGAGCGGCCGAGGAGGACGAGGACGGCACCATGGGCTACTCGTGGTCCCAGCACAGTAAGTACATCGTTAGCCACCGACATCAGATCCGGTTGGCGACAGCAGGTGAAAACAAAAGAATGGCGGGGTCTCTCATTGGGAGGCCGCTGTCGGTCGCATGGGTACTAGTTATTGACTAGTGGTGGCAATCGGGCTGCCATCAGGGCAATTTAGGGGCGGAATGAACAACATCACCATATCAAACTGCCCCGCTCTTTTTTTTCCAACGTGCACGCGATCAAGCACGCTCTCCCAATTTGTCGCTCGCGGCCTGGGATTCTCGAACCATTGTTTGTCACGGAGTTTCGCACCTCCTTACCTTTCTCCCTCTTCCATTACGGATGAGTATAAATCGGTATAAATGCGTTGTTTGACGTCGCGGTCGCCGTAAACTGGCATTGTACCAGGAGCCGTGCCCCGCCCCGTCTCCTATGTGTATGCGCGTCTCCCTCTCTCGTCTAGTCATGTTTATCTTTCTCCCCCCCCCCCTCCTTTGCTCGAGCACGGCCTGCTCCTCCGCGCGCCCGCACCTCGTAATACGCAATGATCCATGCGCAGTATCGGGCCACTAGGTGACACTGGGTGACTCTGGGGAAATCACCGGGGCACACAAGAGTTACAGGCTAATGCGTGGCCTTTCAGGGCCGTTTCGGTTATTACGCCGATCGTTTCGAGTTATTGCGCCTCATACTTCGCACCCTTTCGGCTTTGTCTCGTACTTTCCGGCAATAATTATTGTTCCGCGTGCAAGTGTGTACGAGTGCGACCTTATTTCGGAAGTGAAAATCCCCCTGATAAGGCTCATCGCTGCCGACTCATCGTGCGACACCTTACGAAAGCGCCGACGACGAGGACGAGGTCACCCTCAGAGGTCTCCGCGGGTCTGCGACGCGTCGCGCACTTACTTAGTAGTGTAGTAATCGTCTAGAAAGTACGCCCGTCATTGTCGTCCGCCGTTACACGAACCTGCCAACCTATGCCTATGCGAGCTCTCATGGCGCCTTGTAGGTAGGCAACATCCTGCCTGGCGCGCACGCGTGTACTGCGGGGTGGCCTACCCCAAGCCTCGCAGGCGCTCAACTCCCGTGGGTTTGCGCGATAAACCTGAAAACAAAAATTAAAAAAAAAATCGGACGAACTCTCCAGACAATCCTTTTGCTTTATCTTTTGGGTGCATCTAGTCGCGTCATTTTTGTTTCTCTTCCACCGAGGGCCTGGCGATGGCCACTACGTATTAAAAGAGTCCGAAGTGCGCGCGGCCCATCCGAAAGAGTCCGATGAGGTTTTGTACTAACCCAATAAAGTTCGAAGTGACATTCGGTGCTTGAGAAGTCGCGTAACTTTGAAGGCCAATAGCATTTAGACAGTGTTAAGGTTACCAATGTAAACTTTGTTGGATTAGTACACAACCAAATCGGACTTTTTCGGATGGGTCTCCAGCACTTCGAATTCTTTCGGATGGGCCGCTCGCACTTCGGATTCCTTCGATCAGGGCCATCGCTGGCTGCTCGTCTCGAAGCGGTTTTCCTGCTATTCTAAAAATAAGCGCGCGAAAAAGCTATAAAGTTCCCCGGCTGCACTAACAAGGCGCGCGCTCCACAAATACTAACTCACTCGCTCACTCGTGTTTCTGCTCCCCGTCTCAGGGCCCGAGGCGGAGGTGGCAAGCGGGAAGCTTCGCGGCAAGTCGGATGTGACGGCGGCGGGCACCAGGTACCATGCCTTCATGGGCGTGCCCTACGCCAAACCGCCCGTCGGAGAGCTCCGCTTCAAAGCGCCGCAGCCCGTCGAGCCGTGGACAGGGGTCCGCGACGCCTCGGAGGAGGGCAGCGGGTGCCTCCAGTCGTCGATGCCCTTCAGCTCGCCCGAGGGCATTGTAAGTGCGGGGGTCCAGGAGGGCGACTGGTTGGTTACATCGCCCTGCAATAAGGTTTCAAAAAAATTCTTATTTTTCAACTGGCAGAGCTTGAAGCACGTGATCGCCATCCTGAGGCACCTTCCGACCTTAGCCCACCGGGTTCTGGCCAACAAAAAACAGAGCGAGGACTGCCTCTTCCTCAACGTCTACGTGCCAGCCGATACGGTGAGCTCGACTCGACGGGAAGGGGGTGCTCACACGATATCAAGGGTGTACGCCAATTGTTTATAGTCATATTTTAAATGTTTTATTCTGAATTTAATTTTGTTCATCTCTTTTTGAGTGAGCGAAGGGAAGGGTTTCTTGAAGTGATCGCTCCTAGCTCCTCGTCTAAGCCTTTTATCCGCGGGCGGAGCTAGATGGAAGCAAAATTGAACATTTCTTCCCAGTTCCCGGCGCCGGAGGTGTACTCCGAGCAGGCGAACGAACAGGAGGAGAGAGCCGAGCGGCCGCTGCGGCCCGTGATCTTCTGGATCCACGGCGGCGCCTTCAAGTATGGTGATGGCAACCCAGACATGATCACCCCAGACCTGTTCCTCGACAAGAACCTCTTGGTGGTGACCATCAACTACCGCCTAGGACCCTTCGGTCAGTGCGTCCTCGCGGTTCTCACGGCCTGCCCTTTTCCGCCCGACAGCGGCGCTCACAAAACTTTTCTCCGCAGGTTTCCTGGCGCTCGGCACCGAGGACGTCCCGGGCAACGCCGGCCTCAAGGACCAGGCGATGGCACTCCGGTGGACGTACGACAACATCAAGTCCTTCGGCGGCGACCCGGCAGCCATCACGGTGTACGGCGAGAGCGCCGGGGGCGCGTCCGCGCACTACCACAACCTGTCGCCGTTGTCCAGGGGTGAGTGGAGTGGAGGGCTGTAGACAGCTGCCCTTTGGGTATACCCGCCGCTAACCCGTCCTCGCCGCCCGCAGGCCTGTTCCGAGGGATCATCGCCAGCTCCGGGACGTCGGCGTGCCACTGGGCGTGCACGCAGAACGCCGCCAAGTGCGCGCGCGCGCTCACGAGGGAGCTGGGGCTGCAGGCGGACACCCCGGACGAGATCGCCAAGGCCCTGCGCTCCGTCAGCGGCCACAAGCTCCTCCACGCCGCCGAAAAGATGGCGCCCGTGTTCGTAAGTCCCGCCAGTCCCGCGTGCGTCACCGAGGGCCGCGTTGAGGGAGGTCGCGGCCGCCCTCCGGACGGTAAACACTGCAGCGGTGCCGCGTGCGATGCCTCTTTATTTTGGGTGCGAGTGCGGCGCGTGGCCGACGAGGGGCCCCATATGGCTCTGGCGCCGCACGCCGTGGCACAGCTGCAGCCACGCCGCCGTGGAAATAGACGGCCGCCACCGCCACGCCGCGACGCTGTCAGTCGGTGCAACGCCCGGCCTTTAGCCCGACCACCGGCCGCCTGTCAGGGCGCCCCCACCAGGGGCAAGGCAACCCAGATGACTGGCTGGGCACCTCCACCGGGGGTAGGCAACCCAACTGACTCGGCGCCCCCGCGGCGCCGCTTTTTGCAGGACGACGCCACGGACGAGCTCATGTTCCTGCCCGTCGTGGAGCCCGACCTCCCCGGGGCGTTCATCGCCGAGGACCCGGTAACCATGGTGCGGGACGGCAGGTCGAGCCAGGCGCCGCTCTTGACGGGCGTCAACAGCGCCGAGGGCCTCGTCTGGGTGCTGTGTGAGTACGGCGACGTCGCCCTCCTATCGCCCGGCGCAGCTCGGCAGTGACTGACCTTTGACCCCGCCGTCTTGCAGTCGCCCTGACCAGCGAGGAGAAGACGTACAAGGACATCAACGAGCGGCCGTACTACTTCTTACCGCCGGACCTGCGCCGCGGCCTCACGCCAGAGCAGCGGGACAAGTGCACCCGGGAGATCCTCGAGGAGTACACGGGCGGCAGCGCCTTCACCAAGGAGAACGTGTCCGACTGGATTGAGGTATGCAAGGATCGCCCGGGGGCGCGGCTGCAGTGAAGTGGTATGGTGCAGTGACGAGTCATGATAACGGTTGCAGCTCTACGGTGACCTCATGTTCATGATCATGACCGCGAATGTCACGCACCTGCACGCCTCCGCCAACACCGCCCCCGTGTACCTCTACAAGTTCGACTTCGCCGGCAAGTACAACGCCCTCAAGGCCATGTGCAAGGCCAAGCTCGGCAAGGGCGTGCCAAAGATCCCGGGTAAGTGTGGTGTCCGCGGTGGGCTCGTGCTCGTGGGGACGGGCGCTCGCTCGACCATGTCATGTGTGACGGCTTGTCGTGTCGCCTGCAGGGGCCGCGCACGGGGACGATCTGTTCTACGTGGCGAGCGTCCGATTGCTGCCGCTCCCGACCCTGACGCCCGACAGCCGGGAGGAGGTCTGCCGCAGACGGATGGTGCAGATCTGGACCAACTTCGCGGAGACGGGGTTCGTATGCGCGACAGCCGAACGAGGCCGGCCGCCCCGACAGAACCTAGGTTTCCTCACGTAAACTCTCCTCCCCCAGGAACCCCGCGCCCAACGGCGCCGACGACAAGGTGCTGCCCGTGGAGTGGCTGCCGTGCACCGAGTCCTCGATGCCTTACCTGTACATCAACGACGACTTGGAAGTACGGACGGGCAAGCTGTTTCCCCGACAGGCCTTCTGGGAGGCCCTGTACGAGAAGTACCTGGGCAAGCCCGTGCCTATTACTCACGTGAGGTCCGGGCCTCAATAATTGGGGGCTTGCTGACGGGACTGTACTAGAAGTGCCCTTCAAACAGGCCCGCCACTCCGCCACGCTCCGCCCCGTTGGCCCGTGCCGTCAAGTGACAAGTGACGGCGGGTCGCCGGACCCCACTCTCCGACACCTACACGCATATTTTACATCGCGTTTCCGCTCTCGTGTCATGCCAAACGGCAACTCCGATCGATATTCCGGTTAAGTGTCGGGAGACCTAAGTAGCCGTTAATGTTGATCTACGACGGCAACGGCCCGCCAGTTTTGTGACGTGTATGCATGTATGTATGTGTGTGATTTTGTTGAAACACGTTTTGTGATGTAATTTTTAAGTTACGTAATCTTCTCACTCGCTACCTTTTGTCGGGAATGGGATTAACATTCAGGTTCGTTAATCCAGTTATAATTGAGCAAGTGCGAGCTTTTTTCGCTTACAGCCAACAACGCACGCCGGCCATGTGGGCTGCGTACCCACCCGGCGCTTCAGCTCAGTATGTGCTACCGACATAATTTTAGTTCACTGTCTTTTTTACTTTCCCCATTCTTGTTTCATTTCATTAGCACTTTATGTTGCTTTTTGTTGTAAATTTCATTGACAAAAATGGTTTACCATAACATTTCACCCAAACTGATAAACACTATGTTCCTAAGTTACAAGAAAAATCAATAGCTGTATTTTTCATTAAATCTTGTCGCGGTTTGTCATTCCTGCGAACGCTTTTTTTTAATCCGCTCTCCTCTCTTTTGACACGAAACCAAAAATGTGCAGTGTCCGGGTCCAGCCCACGTGGCGAACACTATCCCTTGTTCGCTACGCCCCCGCCCCTCCCCGTTCCATCCCACCCCCCTTCTCCTTCTCTCTGTTACTACGTGGCGTGGCGGAGCTTGCCGTGATCCTCGTGCGCGTGGCGGCGATGGTAGAGATACGCACACAGTGGTCCTCACGCTAGGGCGCAGTCCTTGTCACATGCACAGCCTCGC